AGTCTTATCTTCTATACTACTGACTACAACCTGGACGTTAAGAAAGCTCCTGCAGGGCTGGGAATGTGGCTTAGTGGTAAAGTACTTGCCTAGCATGCATGAAGCTCTGGATTCAATTCCTCAGTACCATATAAACAGAAAAAGCCAGAAGTGGTACTGTGGCTCAAGTGGTAGAGTGCTAGCCTTACGCAAAAAAAACCCCAAAACTTAGAGCCAGTGCCCAGGCCCTGAGTTCAAACCCTAGGACTGGCAAAAAAAGAAAAAAAATGTCTACAATGTCCACAGTGCCTAGACTGTAAGCAAGACATTGATGTGGGCCTACCCACACCACTTCTACCCACATACCCAGGATGCCCATTTGCTGGTGCCAGATTCTGTGCTAGTTACCAAGCAACACAGCTCATCTGCATGAGTGCTCAATCATTGCAATCCTCACAATACACAATTTGGAATTTTCCTCATCCACTAGGACAAATGATATCGCATCATTTGCAAAGACATGGAAGGACCCGGAAAAATTGGGTGAAGTAAGTCAGGCCCATAGAGAAGAATTCATGTTTTCTCTTATATATGAAAGCTAGATCTAATTTAGAAATATACAATTAAGCCAGGTGTCGGTGGCTCATGCCTATAATCCTAGCCACTCAGGAGGCTGAGATTTGAGGGTCGCAGCTCAAAGCCAGCCCTGGCAGGAAAGTCTGTGAGACTCTTATCTCCAATAACCACTCAGAAAACTGGAAGTGGCGCCGTGGTTCAAGTGGTAGAGCGCTCACCTTAAGCTGAAGAGCTGCTGGACAGTGCCCAGACCCAGAGTTCAAGCCCCACAACCAACAAAAAAGAAAAGTAAAGAAAAGAAAAGGAATATACAATTAAACACATACTTGTTTTGTATGCAAGTACGCACAAATGTATTAACTGAAATATGAGTATCTATGCAGGAAAGAATTCAGAAGGTGTAACTCCTTAGAAAAACAAACACAAATATCAGGAAGCTGGTACTTGAGATGTGTGGGAGGGGAGAGAAAGGGAAGGTGGGTAGATGAGTTTAGTGAGAAAATGGGGAGAATGCATTCATAATATTCACTGCATATCCTACAAAACTAGGAAAACTGAGGGGGAAGGGTAGAGTTGGGAAAGAAGGGGGAAAATAATGAAAACAGTGATAAACTAACATGTTGAATGGTAACCCTTTTGTACAACTACATAAAGATAAATTTTTAAAAACCCATGTAACCCAAATTTTACCATTTTACCCTTTTATATATGTGTGCACAGTACAGGGGCTTGAACTCAGGGCCTGGGTACTATCCCTTAACTGTTTCATTAAAGGCTAACACCCTACCCCTTGAGCCACAGCTCTACTTCCAACTTTTGCTCGTTCATTAGAGATAAGAGTCTCACAGACGTTTCTATAGGGGCTGGCTTCTAACCTCAAACCTTAGATCTCAGCCTCCTAAATAACTAGGATTATAGGCATGAGCTACCAGAGCCCAGCTCTTAACCATTTTTTTTTAAGTGTACAATTCATGAGAGTTTCTGTGGTTGTGCAATCAACCTCCAAAACTCTTTTCATCTTACAAAAGGGAAACTATGTACCCATTAAACAACTCCCATTCCTACCCCCCACCCCCAGGTCCTAGCAACCACTATTACTTTCTGTTCCATGAATGACAACTCTTCATAACATAAGTAAAACCATACTTATGTATTTGAGGTTTTTTTTTGAATGCTAATGGCCTTAAGGTTCATCGATGTTATAACATGTGTCAGAATGTGCTTTCTTTTAAAACTGAATATTTGTGTGTGTGAAAGACATTTTGTTTATCTATTCATCTGTTGATAGTGGCTATCTATCTATCTGTTGATAGATTTTGGCCATTGTGAATAATACTATTATTAACATATATAATTATCTCCTTGACACCTTGATTTTAATTATTTTAGTATGTGCCCAGACGTAGAATTGTTTTTGTTTTTTTTTCATTATTGGAGTTCTTATTGGGCTGATGTTCTGCTGAGTCATGGCTCCAGGCCTTACATTTAATTTTAATTTTTTGAGGCACACCATACTGTTTTCATAGCAGCTATATCCTTCAAAGGCCATGTGTGAGAGGCTTGGGCCCAAGCTTGGTGCTATTGGGAAGTGGTAGAAACTTTAAGAGAGCTTGGGGGCGTGGCTCAGTTGGTAAAGTGCCAGCCAATGAGGTATAGAGTTTGAGTCCCAGTCTCAGGCTAAAAAAAGAAAGAAAGAAAGAAACCTTAAGAGGCAGGGCCTATGGAAGAAAATCAAGTCACTAAGGATAGTCCCAGGCCTCTTCTTTCTCTCTCATTGGTGTCTCTGCTATGAGGAAAACAGCTTTGCTCTCTCACACACTCACTCCCTGTTGTACTGCCAACCCTCATGACCAACAGCAATAAAACTAATCAATCATGGGCTAGAACCTTTGAAATTGTGAGCCAATTAAATCCTGCTTTTCTTTTCTTTTCTTTTTCTTTCTTTCTTTCTTTTTTTTTGGCAATCCTAGGGCTTGAACTTGAGCCTGGACATTGTCCCTGAGCTTTTATTTTTTCCCCCCCTCAAGGCTAGCACTCTACCACTTGAGTCACAGTTTCACTTCTAGATTTATTTATTTTTATTTATTTATTTTTGTTATTGGTTGTGGGGCTTGAACTCTGGGCCTGGATGCTGTCCCTCAGCTCTTCAGCTCAAGGCAAGCACTCTACCACTTGAGCCACAGTGCCACGTCTGGTTTTCTAGTGGTTTATTAGAGATAAGAGTCTCACAGACTTCCCTGCCTGGGCTGGCTTTGAACTGAGATCCTCAGATCGCCACCTCCTGAGTAGCTAGGATTACAGGCATGAGTCATCGGTGCCCGGCCCACTTCTAGATTTTTGATAGTTCCTTGGAGATTAGAATTTCACAGACTTACTTCCCTGGGCTGGCTTCAAATTGCTATCCTCAGAGCTCAGCCTCCTAAGTAGCTAAGATTACAGGTGTGAGCCACCAGTTCCTGGCTCAATCTTTTTAAAAGTTCATTATCTTAGGGTTGTTTTTTTTAACAATAATTAAAAGCTGACTAACATGCAGTCCCATCAGCAGCAAGCACGTTTCCAATTTTTCCATATGCACACCACTTGCTATTTTATTTGCACTTTGGTAAATAGCCATCTGGAGCTTCCTGTGCCACCACGCTATTCTATTCATTATGGCAGCTACAAGTGCCCCCCAGCTACAAGTGCCCATTAGCCAAAAATCAAGTATGGAAAGGAAAGGCTGCTGGACAAAGCAAATTATGGCACATAAATGTTGAGTGTGTGAGGACATACATCCCTCAGGGTATCTTTGGGTACCTGTGAACAGTGTACAATAGGGTGCCCATGAACTTAGCAACCCATCCTTCACCTCCTGAAGTAAACAAAATCAGACCAGACATCTGGGAAGTCCTGTTTCTGTCTCAAGAGTAGTCCTGAACTGAGATGGGACATGATAACTCACTGTCTTAGCTGCTCCTAGATGCTACAGACAGGGACTGGGCAAGTAGTAGGAACTGCCTGGTAGGGGATCAGAGCCAGAGATGCACAGTTTCGTTAGAGCTCAAAGCAGACATGGTGCGTGCTAGGAGATACAGACAAAGCCCACAGGCCCAGCCACCTTCCAGTGGTCCCGTGAACTCCACACCTGCCACTCCTAGCTGACTACCATCTTTCCCAAGGGTGACTTTCACAGCATCCTTCCACTCTTCTTGCTTTTGCACAGCAGAGAAAACTCTTTCTAAGAACTCTTCTTCTAAAAGGTCGAGCCTTGTTGCTTCCTTCCTTGCTTTGCTCAAAAAGTCAACTCTTCGGTATACCTGTGTACTGGCCTCCGATAGGTATGTTGAACTTCTTGAACTCCAGTTATTCTAATCTATGAGAACTCCCCCCCCACTCCTGCCACCAGATCTGTCACCCTCTTTGCCTGGATAGATTTTACTTCATTTTATTTCTATTTCCAGATTCACCCCAAATGTTATCACTTCTTGTAGAGAAAGTAAGTAATGCACTAATTCACCCTAGGTCATACAGGAAAAACAAGCCACAGTGTACTTCGAGGGCAGAAGCTATACCTCAATGTCTATACTACAAGGTAAGGCAAATGGTGTGATGTTTGCCACACGGTATTGAGAGAATGAGATACAGGATTGGCTGAGGCCACTGTTTCTTGAGAGGAACATAAAACAGAGGAGAGGAGAGGCTAAGGAGCAAGGAAATCCTTACCTCTCTGGTCAACAGGAAATGAGTCCCTGAGGATGCTCTTTCTAGAAAGGACTGTGCTGCCTAGCATCTCCTGGTCCTTACCAAAGAGCAGCAGCAAACATAGAGAGGCAATATATGTTTATCTTGATTTCTTAAACTTACACAAATTGCTACCAAACCACTTGGGTGCCAGGGGCACAAGCTCAAGCTCCTGCTCACCAACTGGCACTATGTTCAGCTAAGTCTCTGGCCAGTCTGTCTCTCGAGTGACTTGAAGCCAGGACTCTTGCTTTTCTGGCTCCTTGTATCCAACCAGCAACAGGAGCACTTTCCCCCATTTTTGGAGACATCGAAACTCCAGGGAAGGGGCTCTTCCCTGTGTCTGAAGGCCTGCCCCAATGTTGGCACCTAGGTTCACCTAACCTTCCCATCCCTTTTCTCATTGGCACGTAGGGAAGTAACTAGGGCATACACGTCAGGGCAGCCAGGAGCTAGGCCACGAACATCTAGGCTCTTAGGAAATCACTTGGTTGTGAAACGCAGAAAGGAAAAGGCAGTTGGTGGCAATGCTCCCTTCTCCATCCTGGGAGATGAGCTTCACTCATCAGCCTCCTCTCTCTTGAATTTCGTGCTGGCCTGTTGCTAGAAGCATAACCACATCCCTTGCAGGGCGCTGCCAGGGAGTCTCCAGGGGGGATCTGACGCACACGGAGGGGGTCGCTCCATTCCCTGTCCCCCTCCTGGCACGGAACCTGGCCACCTACCTCGGTCACGATGGTGGTCTGGTAGATGTCCCGGCTGAACTCCCAGCCATCCACGCAGCTCTCCTGCTCCAGCCGCTCCAGGTCCACGTCCAGCACCGGCTCCAGCCCCAGCGCCGACAAGTTGGCGATGGTGGCCAGGCGGTAGCGGCGGCAGCTGTGCGGCACCTCGCGGCCATCCTGCCGCACCAACGGGATACTGTGGTTGCGCCAGGCGCTGCTCAGGTTCGCCGTGTCCGGCACCCGGCAGTGGTGCTCCGGGGTCCCCGCTAGGAACAAGATGGACATACCGTTGAAGCCATTGGGGATGATGCTGGCGCTGAGCAGGAAGAAGATGAGGCGCTGGAAGGGTCCCCACTCGCCCAGGAAGGCGGTCACCTCCTCGTAGTCACGCATGCTTCCCGCCACTCCACGGACGCTCGCCTCAGGGGGTGATTGGCGCGTGCTCCGGGCGGGACCGCGCGGCCTGGGCCTTCTGAGGTGGGGGGCGGTGCGTCAGAGCTCCAACATCCAGGGGGCGCGCTGTGAGAAATTGGGCTGCCGGCGTGAGAGCGTTGCCGGGAGCTCCAGAGGTCTCGCGACCACACCTCCATCCCGGGCTGGGCTCGTGGGCGGGGCGCGGTTAGTCAGGGAGAGCCTAGCAGGAGGGGCGGGGCTTGTGGGCGGCGAGAAGGAGGAGGCGTGGTTAGCGAGGGCGTGCCTGTGGGTCGGTGGGCGTGGCTTTATGGGCGGTGAGGGGTGTGGCCCAGCGGGCGAGGCGTGGTTAACGAAGGCGTGTCTAGCAGGCAGGGGCGGGGCTTTGTGGGGGGTGAGGGGCGTGGTCACGGAGGGCGTGTTTCGTGGGCGGGGCTTTGCGGGCGGGGCGGCCCCCACGAGGGGCGCGGGTTCACCGGGTGTTAGAGGGACCTTGGGTCTGGATCCCCTCCCCCGCTGCCTTCTGAGAGGCTCCGGCCCCACTCCGAGCACGTGGAAGGTTGTCGAGCCCGGAGCTTTGACTTCCCAGGTCCAAATGGGTGATCGAAAGTCAGAAGTCACGGCAAAGCAAGGTCTCGAGAAGGTCGATTGGGGTTTATGTTATGGGCGCCCTACCAGGCTTAGCTCCGGGCAACGTGCTCCTCCGCTGTCCCCATCCAGTCTGCGCTGCAGCAGACTCCCGCAGGGCGCAGAGTCCGTGCTGTCTGGTGTTCCTGAGGGAACCCTGCGGACCGATCACAGGGATGACAGGACTGACCGGATCATGCCCAGCTCTCCCCACACTGCGCAGGTGGCTGGCACCAGCTGACCGGGCATCAGCTGACGGGGAGCTCTCTTCTCACCCGTTTTAGGAGCTCTCCTGCGGGTCACCAGCCCGAGGAGGCCGCAGCAGCGTCCTTTCACCTTGAAAAGTGAAGTCAGGCCCAGAGCCTGCAGATGAGCAAGGTCACTCACTGTGCACCAGAGATGTGACCTCGGTCGCAAAGGGGTGGAGGAAAAGGCTCCAGGGTGATCCCCCGTGTGGTCCTGAGGTCCTACTAGGGTCCCTGAAGAAGGCAGTGGTTGAGGTGCTGCTGTCGTCAGACTTGGGTTCTGATTTTAGTCCCCTTCCCTCCCCCCACCCCCCAGTCCTCCAGGGCTCTTTGTTGGAGCAGCTGACAGAATCTTCTTGGACTGCAAAGCCTGCTGTTTGCAGAAAGGCCCGCTCCTGTCTAGGTACTGAGTGTGTGAGTGGGGGCGGGGGGGGGAGTAGAGGAGATGCTAAGATTTGGTAAGATCTAGCCCTCCCTCCCTCTTTCCCTTCCTTCCTCCCTCTCTCCATCTCTACCTCCCTCTCTCCCTCCCTCCTTTCTTCTTTCCTTCTTTGGTCTCTGTTGCTCTCTGTTTTGGTTTCCTCCCTCTCTTTCTCTCTCTCACCGCCCTCTTCATATTTGGGCTCATGGGCTTATGAGATCCACCTGTTGAAGGGAATACTTCTTTGAAGATTTTTCCCAAGTGCATTTGCTTTCCAGAAGGTCAGGAGGTTGATGGCACTTCTGGTCCCCCAACCTTCTGTAGCATTCTAGACTGACCCCTCCTCTTAGACTGGCTACCACCATCTTGGAACTTCATTTTCCTTCCCTAGGTATTGTGTCCAAGAGAACTATGACTTACGTCTATTAATACAGTGAAATTGGTAACAGATTCCCTTTATTTTCAGAAGTATCCTATCAAGGGGAATACACATGATCATTACCTAACTTAGCTTGGATTTCATTCCTCCAAGATAAATTCAAATAATAAAGCATAGCCTGAGACAAAAACTTATGTGATGTAGTTTGAGTAATGATCCCCAGAAGAGAAAAATTAGGGAGTAGGGAAAGTGAATAGGAGTCAGGCATATGGCACAGGCTAAAATCCTAGCCCCTTGGGAGGCAGAAGTAGAAGGAGTGCTCTGAGGCAGGTCACAGCAAAAACTGAAGACCCTCTCTGCAGATCAAACTAAAGCCAAAAGGGCGGGGAATGATTTCAGTGGTAGTGTAATGCACAATGCTCTGGGTCACATCCCCAGTATTGACACAAGAACAAGAAAGAAAAGGAAAGAAGAGAGGACAAAAAGGAAAAGGGGGGGAGAAGGTAGGGAGGGGAAGAGAGCAAAGATGAACAGGGAAGAAGATAAAGTCAACATAATACTGTGAAACTGAGATGATTTGTTTTTTTTTGGGTCCAGTCGTTGGGCCTGAACTCTGGGCCTGGGCCCTGTCCCTCAGCTCTTCAGCTCAAGGCTAACCCTCTACCACTTGAGCCACAGTGCCACTTCCGGCAGTTTTTCTTTTTGCTTATGTGGTGCTGAGGAATCGAACCCAGGGCCTCAGGCATGCAAGGCAAACGCTCTACCACTGAGTCACCTTCCCAGCCCCACTGAGATGATTTTTGACAATGACCAAATCAGTAACAATGCTGTGTCTAAGGCCAAAGAAAATGTAGCCATACTAGTCCTGTCTCTCTCTTTTTTTTTTTTTTTTTGGTCAGTTGTGGGTCTTGAACTCTGGGTTTGGGCACTGTCCCTGAGCTCTTCAGCTCCAGGCAAGTGCTCTACCCTTGAGCCACAGTGCCACTTCCAGTTTTCTGGTGGTTAATTGGAGATAAGAGTCTCACAGAAGTCTCAAAGCTAGGGCTGGCTTTGAACCTTGATCCTCAGGTCTCAGCCTCCTGAGTAGCTAGGATTACAGGTGTTAGCCACTGGTGCTGGGCTGCAAATTTTTGATATTGTACGAATGGTGGATTCTTTGCAGTAATCTTGATCTTTTCATTACCTTGCATAAAATGTTGTTGTTGTTTTTTTGGGGGGGTGAGGCAGTCTGTGTTGTCGGAACTGATCTCAAACTTCTGGGCCCAAGTGCAACTTTCTGCTTCATCCTCCTCAAGTAGCTGGAGCCACAGGCATACACCACCATGCCTGCCTGCAGATATTTGTTTTGCTTACTGAATTGTTTGGTGTCCTTTCTTGCTTTTTACCAGCAGGAAGCTAGTGAGTCATTCTTTTCCCTCAGCCTTGTCTCACCCCTATTGCTACACAGGGCTAGGGTTTAATCCCAGAGGCACCCTCCAAAAGAGCCAAAGGAGGAGGCATTTGTTTATAGTTTATGTCTCTATCCAACAATGAACAACTCCCTCTTTACTTTTAATCTGTACATTAGTGAGAACTGATCAGGTGTCGCTTAGCTAAGCTATGGCCAGTGGCTCACAAGGGTATGTAAATCAAACCACTTTGTGCTCCATCAGAAATGAATGAACAAGTCCTTTGTTTATAACAACAGCCTATTAGAAGGGATTTCCTTTGCCATTTTTTCCTTTTAGGGCCACCCCCTTAATGGAGTTATGGTGCAGTAACAATCCATTTTTGGCCAGTATGAACATGTCAAGTAGCCCACTGATGATGTATGAGTCAGACCCGAGTATGTTTCCTGGCTCCGGTTGTTGTTTGCACAGAACCACCCCACAAAGCCCCAAGACTGACACGGAGGGAGGGAGGGAGGTGTCATAGGCGTCTGAGCCCCCCCCACCCCAACAGACTTACATGCAAGCACTTTGATGATCTGCTTAACCTTCACCTTGAGTCTGCCTTTTCTACTATATGATGGTTTACTGATGATCCCCACTTTTATTTTATTTTATTTTATTTTTTGTCAGTCCTGGAGCTTGAACTCAGGGCCTGGGCACTGTCCCTGAGCTTCTTTTGCTCAAGACTAGCACTCTACCACATGAGCCACAGAGCTACTTCCAGCTCTTTCTGTGTATGTGGTACTGAGGAATGGAACCTAGGGCTTCATGCATGCTAGGCGAGCACTCTACCACTAAGCCACCTTCCCAGCCCCTGGTGATCCACTTAATATCATGATGACAAAATCTGACCATACCCAGCTCCTTCACGTGTCTGTGATTGCACAAAATTTTAATGACTCCTGGCTGGGCTCCTCATTTTTATTGGGGCCAAATATCTGCTTTTCAAAAGTCAAATAGCTCTTTGCCACAGAGGTTGGTGTTTCTGCAGATAGATGCTGAAACTTGTGTGTGTGTGTGTGTATGCACACGCACACTGGTCCTGGGGCTTGAACTCAGGGCCTGGGCACTGTCTCTGTGCTTTACCACTTGAGCCACAGCTTCACTTTCAACTTTCTGGTGGTTTATTAGACAGCAGAGTCTCACAAACTTTCCTGCCAGATCTGGCTTGGAACTGTGATCCTCAGATCTGAGCCTTTTGAATGGCTAGCATTACAGGTGTGAGCCACCAGCACCTTGACCTGAAACTCATTAGTACTTCTCAAGGACTTTAGGCAGAGTTCTTGTTCACCATGAACAGATCTAGTATCATGGACTCTACTGGGTTTTATGGACTGACTGGCAGGGAAGCAAGTACTGTATAGGTGGACACACTGTATACCTTCACTCAAAACTGGGAGCCTTGGGGCTGGGAATGTGGCTTAGCGGTAGAGTGCTTGCCTAGCATGCATGAAGCCCTGGGTTCCATTCCTCAGTACCACATAAACAGAAAAAGCCAGAAGTGGCCCTGTGGCTCAGGTGGTAGAGTGCTATCCTTGAGCAAAAAGAAGCCCAGGGATAGTGCTCCAGGCCCTGAGTTCAAGCCCCAGGACTGGCAAAAACAAAACAAAACAAAAAAAACCCCACAGAACAAAAAAACCAAACCAAAACAAAGCAAAAAAAAACCCAAAAACCTGGGAGCCTTCAGAGGCACTGAATAGATGAACCAGCGAGTACTATGGTCCAGAGCTAGGGCACAACAACCTGTCTTTACAGGATTAACTTAGTATGCTGCAGGCCTCTGGATTCCTAGCTTCACAAATAACAACATGGAGCTGGCCACCAGTGGCTCATGTCTATAATAGTAGCTACTCAGGAGGCTGAGATTTGAGGATCATGATTCAAGGCCATCCTGCGCAGAAAAGTCCAAGAGACTCCTCCAATGAACCAGCAAAAAACCAGGTGTGGCTCCAGTGGTAGAGCACCA